AATAATTTTACAATAAATTTTATTATTTAAATATCAAGAAATCTTAATCCTCATATAATATATATATATATATATATATAATTTTTTCTTTCTTTCTTTTCAAAGTACTTACTAATTTAGACTGATGTATGTGATTGCGCACGACATGACTTCGCCTCATGACCAATTTACCCGAATTTTAGTCCCTGCCGACCTCATTTATTGGAGTAATATTGATTACGGTATGTCCCAACCTTTTCTACTTCCATGCTCTTACCTCCAACATTTTATAAAATTGTTCATAATATCCTTTCTATTAGTTCATAATCATAGTTAAAATTAGAAGAATAACTAAAATATCTCTTAACTTCTATATATTAATAAAAAAAAAAATTCAAAAACAACCTTTTTAACACATTCCATATTAATAACTCATTAACTTTCAACATACTTCTTTATATTTAAAATCCTTAAATTAAAGCCAAATACACGAGTAAATCGCAAGTTTTAAAAACTGAGTCTTCTAATTTACAATTTTAATAGGTTTTTTGAGAAAATAAAACTGGGGAGAAGAATATGTCCATCAAGGAACTCCTTACTCTAATTAGCAGGAAAGCAAACGAGAATATGCTGCTTCGCACCATCCCATTGACATTCCTACAACCTCATGAAATGTCAGCAAACGAGAGGAAATTTAAAAAATTTATAAGAAGTTCTAGTACACAATTAATTAAATAGAGAATCATATAGTGCGTGGCCCTTCTGCCGCATTTTGTCAGTTTGAGATGTATTTTTCTTTTTTTATGGATGAGTTTTGAGCTTATCTCTTGACAAATTATTCAAAAAAAAAAAAAAAGAATGAAATATATAGTTTGGGAAATTTTTAGTATTACCTGGTACAGTTTAGAGGCATCATTTAACATTTGTAAAGACATTTACAATTTAGAAACGTTTCCGGCCCTCGAGCCAAGCAAAAGATAGCCCCAAGGGTAGGGCTGGGCATTTGGAAATCAAACCGATGATTACTCAACAACCGAACCAAAAAAATGAATTCAGTTTGATTTTAACAGTTTTTGGTTTTTATTATTTTGATTTTGATGTTAACCGAATAATTTTCAATTTGATTTTGGTTAAATTTTTCAAAAATCAAAAACCAAAAATAAGTTTCTGAAAACTGAAATTATGATAAATATAATAAAATATAAGATAAAATATAATTTATTATTAAAAAATAATTAATTAATACTTATTTAGTAAAAACCAAAATTAAATCGATTTTATTAGTAACCGAATCAATCAATTTGTGAAAGCTTCAATTTGATTTTAATTCTTAAAATTGAAAAAAAAAAATTGGTTACTTTAAAATCGGTTCCAATTTTAACCAAAATCGGTTTTTACTCACCACTACCCAAGGGAGTCATTTTCTAACTTCAATAAAGCTTTGCCATTTAACAACGGGCCCCCCATTTTTTTCAACGGTGGGAAATTTAGAGATAAGGGGATAGCTAAAATCTGCTTCAGTTGTGACTGAATACATTTAACCACGGACCCTTAATATGCACCAGAGATATCAAATTTATACACGTGCCCGGCTTTTTTTACTTGTTATTATTATAATTATAATATCATATAAAATTACAAATTTATAATTTTAATATATAATTAAATAAATATGATATGATATTAAATAAAAAAATATAAATAATATAAATTTAATATGATTAGTTATAACGTTAAATTTCAAAAACGTTATGTTTAATATCAATCAGTAATTACATTAAATATATGTTACACATAACCTAATTATATAAAAAATTTTCAAAAAAAAATGTTAAAGAAAATATCCCTAATACTTCTTTTATAATCATATCAATTTCACTTTTGAAATGCTTATAAATTGAACCAGGCCTTAAAACCTGATGATTTAGGCCAATCTTAAGAATAAGTGGCCTTCAAGCCCTGTGTTCACACAGGCCAATACCACCCTTATAAAACAGAAATGTTGTTATTTGTTTGTATTTCCCTTTCTCTCTCTGTCTTTTAAGATATAATTTAATGGCTAAAGATTTAAATCATTAAAAATTTTAAATTTAAATTTAAAAGTAAATAAATAAATATTAAAATTTTTTTTTTGATAATTCATTATCTAATATATAAAAAAAATTTCCTTTTCCCTGAAAATTCTCAATATAAAAACGAAAAAAGTCGTAAATTTGGAAAGAAAATAAAGTCCGACATTAATATTAGGCTGAATAAAGGTTACTATTCCATTCATTCATTCATTTTATTTAGTCGTTTAAGAGAACAAAATTTCTCCGTGTATGAACCATTTCATTAACCCTGCCATTACTTTCATCTTTCCCTTCGCTCTACCCTCCACATGGGTCCCGCGTCGGCACAGACATGTGACGACTACTTCTCCCAAACATTATTAAAACAAAAACCGTAAAAACATTTGTCCTAAAAGTAGCCAATTTTCTCGTGGCTCCTGTTGTTCCACTTGTCCCCCTCTTACTCGTCATCACTTAGATTTCCCCTCCCCAATACGACTGGATAGTTAGCCAAACACATACTAAAACACCAAATCAAGAACTTGCTGTTCCTCCATTTCACGTTTAGTACAACCAAAATCAGCTTAAGAAAATTTTTCTTTAAATCCGTTTGATTCTTAGTCATGGGAATTGAGATTGAGGCCCTGAAGGGCATTTCTGGAGGTTGTAGGGTGGCGGCGAAGCCGTGTGGCTCTTGTAAATTCGCTACAGCGGCAGTGTTTTGTCGGGTTGATTTGGCTTTTCTGTGCCTGAATTGTGATTCCAGGATTCACGACAACAAACTCGTCCCCCGACACGAGCGTTACTGGATGTGTGAGGTCTGCGAGCAGGCTCCTGCCGCCGTCACTTGCAAGGCCGATGCTGCTGCCCTCTGCGTCTCCTGCGACGCTGACATCCACTCTGCCAATCCCCTGGCTCGGCGTCACGAGCGGGCACCAATCGAGCCGTTCGTTGACTCCGCTGAATCGATTGTAAAATCGAGTCCATTTAGCTTCCTCGTGCCGACGGAAAACAGGGTGTGTCAATCGGAGGATGTTGAGCCGGGATCGTGGTTGCTGCCGAATCCTAATTCGAATTCCAAACTCGCAGCCTTGGAGAACACCGAAATTAACAAGTCAGGTGATTTGTTTTTCCCGGAAATGGATCCTTTCCTTGATTTTGACTTCCAAAATTCGATTCAACAGCACTATAATGCAACCATGGATAGCGTTGTTCCCGTTCAGACCAAACCGGCAGCGACAGTTCCAGTTTTGACCAACGAAAACTGTTTCGACATCCACTTCTGTCGGTCAAAGCTGTCCTCTTTTGGCTACCCAACTCAGTCTCTCAGCCAAAGTGTAAATGTTCAACACCCGTTTTCTTCAATTACATAAATTGCTCAAAGTTTTCAAAAACAGGGGGAAAAAGAAAGAAAAAGCAGTAGCACTTTCCAAGATTAACGTTTTGGGTATTTTTCTCTGGATCTTCTCGTACGTTTTCATAGAAGTAATTATCCTTATTTGTCTCAGTTCAATACTGTTTTGACAGATTTTTCCCCGGAAGACTTTTTCATGCTTTTTTAATTGAAAAAGAAATTATTATTGAGTGATTTTAAAATATTAAAAGTACTTGTGATGTTTTTGAAATTTAATAACTACCAGAAAACCATGCTGATTCTTGATGAATAAAATTTTCAGGTTTCATCGTCATCCCATGATGTGGGAGTAGTTCCAGATGGGAACATGTCCGATATATCGTACCCTTTCGGCCGAACTTTGACCGGTGGCAGCGATATAAGTGCACCCATCTTGGTCTCCGCCGCAAACCAAGCAACCCAACTAGGCGGGATTGATCGAGAAGCAAGGGTGTTGAGGTACAGAGAGAAGAGAAAGAACAGAAAATTCGAGAAAACCATCCGCTACGCTTCGCGAAAAGCATACGCCGAGTCCAGGCCGAGGATCAAGGGTCGGTTCGCTAAACGGACCGAAACCGAAACAGAAGAAGATCGCATCTTCAGCCCTGCTTCCGCCGCCACGGCCGCCGCTTTCCTGACGGATACCCAGTACGGCGTCGTTCCCACGTTTTGAGGGCTTCCTGGTTATGGAATAATTTTACCTTTGATCTTATGCTTTTTCTTCCTATTTTTCTGATCTTGCAATTAGAATAACCGTAAGCGGTGAAACTAAAAGATAAAGTATTGCTTATGGGTCTGATGTAAAAGTCAAGTGTGTTGATGTTGGAGATTCTCAGCCCTTGGAGATCACGATTCTGGAGATGGAACTGTTGCTTCCGGTTCAAAAAGGCCCTCTTACTTTTTCCCTCGGGGCTTCTGTGATGAAAATTTTCTCTTCGTTAGTAAATTTTTTTTCCACTTTCCTCATTATCATCTTACTATTTCTTTTGTACGTAAAAAGGGGAAACTTTCTCGTACTCCTTTCAGATCAATATCTTAGCGGCTATTGGGAATCCATATCTATTTTTGAATTGCATTTTTTCTTTTTTTGGAGTGTTAAATTCTTTCTATAATTTTTTATATTTAAAAAATATTTTCTTCTTAAAAGATTCAGTAATTATTAACTATTTAAATAGTTTAGTGATCATTTCTTTTTAATAAAAATAAATAATTTTGAATTTGAATCACATGACATGAAATATAGTGAAATAAAAGATGATAAATAATTACTTTTCATTATGTAATTATGATAAAAAAAAATTGACAATTTATCATGCCTATGTCGTGGTAATATTAAGCTTGGTATGCAAATGATCTAACATTAACTTTAGGGACAGCAAAAAAAAAAAAAATAATTTCAAGGAGGTAGCTTAATATATATTTTTTTAAATACACACAAATTTGGGATAGGAGATTTTAAATCCAATACTTAAAATTGAAAATGTACATTTCTTAAGGTTTATAACCAGTTAATTATTTAGATCAGGTGTAGAGAGCTGGGTTAGTTCATTGTGGTTTATTAAGCCAATTAAGTATTAGGCTAAGTTGATTTTTATCTTGTCTAATTAAAACCAAGCCATTTATGCTAATTAAAGTAAAAAAATGTTTAGAGTGAGAGGAGATTATTACCCCCATAAGTTTTTATAAATTACTTATTTAGAAGGAATTATTATTTATGAGATTTGAATATAAAAACTTATTGTTAAAACGTTTAAACTTTATAAATTAAACTAATTATGTTGCACACCAAAATTCTTCTTGAAAGAAAGTTATGAGAACCCTTAAATTTATCGAAACTATCTTTTTTGTGGACTTAGGCTTGTGTGGATGCTTAGGAGTCTTAAAAATGATTTTTGTTGACAAAGAAGGCATCTCAAGGTTCAACGACTGTAAGAAAATAATAATACTTCAATTTTATACTAATGAATGTTAGGAAAACAAGACAAAAGCAAAACCGTACTTTAAAGGAAAGGAGAGCCTTAGTGCCTTACCGTTCTTCTGGAACTTTCTCTGAGGGATTTTATAAAGATTTTTTTTTAATTGTACCTTAAAGTATTAGTTAATTCTCACTTTTTATAATATTTATAATTAATTTTATATAAATTTTTATATAAAATTTAAATAAAATA